GCCCAGTCTGATGTGAGGGGGACGTCTGACTTTTATTTTCCTCCATAGAAGTCCATATGAAGTACATCCTACTCCCTGGGCTGGACTTCTCAAACCATGTATGTGGTAGGAGGAGTTCAATGGAGCTGGAGTTTCTCTGTCAGTCTAGTGTGTTTTAGTCCATATATGAGGTATCCATGGCCTCTGTCTCGGGGTGGAGCAGGCGGCTGGCCAGACGCTCGATGTCATCCAGACTGAGCTGTCTGAGGGAGCGCTCATAATCCTGAGGGGAAGACAAGATCTGTCAATCAAGTGGCGAAGTTATGACGTCACTCTGTAGGCCAAAATGCGGAAGTGAGTTAGCATTTTAGCACTTCCCTTGCTCTAAAGTCTATGGGTGTTTTGAATGGGTTTTTGCTAAATCGCCTGAAATAAGGTCTGTGGTGAACAAAGCCTCTAAATATTTTCACGTTTTGATCTCTGACAAAACACACCAGTTATAACCTGCTTGTTTTTTTATACTTTATGTAGGCTTCAAAATGTATAAATTTTGGATTAACTTGTAAAGATTTTCTTGATAGCCAATACATGTATGGGTCACAGCTCTTATTTTTTGCGATTTTCCAAAAGTCTATGGGAAAAATGCATAGCTTTTCGATCGAGGGAACCCACGCGCCGCTAGCTTCCGAGCGGTCCTACAAAGTGACGTCATCACTTCCTTAATTCCTGGCCAAATCAAACACTCAAATGTTGTACTACTCTCATCATGGCCAATGATTTTATAAAAACATTTATGATGCTCATTTCTTACACATTCAACAAATGTAATATTATTACGTAATTCTGCTTTCTACGGGCTGAGCAGTGTTGTTATTGTCAACTAAAACTATTAATTCATTGACTGACAAAGCTAAAATAAAATGTAAATATTACAACTTGAAAATTAGAAATTGCGTTTGCAACTGAAAGTTAAAGTAGTAAAAATATAAAGAAAAGCACATAAAATGAACTGAAAAATTAAAACATAAAAATAACATTTCATAACATATAGCATATAAATAAAATAACACTAACACTAAAATAACACTGATTCCATTGAAATAAATAGAATAATTCCATTATTCTAAATATATAAAAGCAAACGTGCACAAAAATAATGTGTTTTTTTTTAATACAAGTAGTATAGAGCCCAAAAACAAAATCACAACTTTGAAAAAGGACACACTGTATAAGGTCCTCTTTAAAGGCCCACTGAAGTGTATTGAAACACGCAGCTTTGTATGATGCATTGACGTCATTTCCACTAAAACAATAAAACAAAGCGGGTCATATTGAATGGCTCCTCCCCCTCCTCAAATAGCCAATAGCGTTTAGTTTACCTCACAAACTGCGAGTCGTACTTGACAGCACCATGCAAGGGAATCCGAGCGCTGATGATACGTTTGATTCAATAATAGAGGTGTGAAAAATTTCTAGCGATTTCATTCTTAACCGACGTACAGTTGGAAAATGGATTAAAACTTGAGCGTTTGAGCAACCGAACACACACTCCAACCCATATTGCTCTGTGACGTGTGTCAATGTGGTGTTTATAGCATAGGGGGCGGAGCTTCAGATTCTAGAGAGCATTTGATGGATGTGACGAGAAGCTGAAGTCCGTGGTGATGTCATAAACATCTGTGATCCAATTTAGCAGAAGTGAGAGACTAAGTTTTGAACGCTTATATCTCCTAAATGCGAATTTTATAATTGTTTTGGAAAACACCAGCTTATAACTTTAAATACTAAAAGCTAAAAAATGTATTTCAAGGAGCCTTTAAGGTCCTTGGGGTCGAAAAGTAAAAAATAAATCTAAATAAACTTTACCACAAAAGACATTAAAATGACAACAACAAAAGGTAATGAAAAGAAAAAGAAAGATAGATCATATTTGTGTCTGTATGTACCTTAATAAGTTGCTCCTGCACTTTTGCAGCATCGGCAGGGCTGAAGTGTTTGGCCAGGACAGTTGACAGTGACTGCCATACGCCACTGCCCGCTCTGTCATTACTCCAGCCGCTGGTCCCCCCCGCGCCACTGCTCCTCTCTCCCGCGGGACGCACCACCAGATTCAGCTTAGCCTCCGGGCCAATCGAGTAATCACTCAACCTGTGTTCATCTGGAAACACCAAAACAACCGTCAACACACCGCGCACACACACTGGCCATGACCGGAGGAAAATCCAAATATGAAGAGTGTTATAGTGTTACCTTAATAATGAATGTATGTTTACTGATCAAGCTTTTACCTGCGAGTGCTTTTCCTTTATACAGCAGTCTCTGCTGACTTGGAGGGATGTTTAAACGCTTTGATACCAACTCTTTTACCGTCGATACCTTTTCATTTTCTGTCACCTGTGCATCAAAAGAACACATCTGCTGACAAAAGCCTTGTTTTTATATTCACTGGAAGAGATCATATTTATACACATGACTTGTATTTGTATAACTGAACCGATTGCTTTCTGTGTAGAAGTCTAAGTGGGGTTATTTGAAGTTTTTTTTTTTTTTAAAGAAATATTGCAGTATTCATTATAAATTAGGTCTGTGTGTGCACATCATTATAAAAAAAAAATCATGTGGCATTATCTAACCTGTCACTCACATGATATCTACCAATAGCAAACCACAACCAAGTCCCGCCCTACATTTGTTCTTGTTAGAGAAGCCGTTTCACTCGGATACACGTCACAACAGGGAAGAAAAAACTATTGTGACTTCTGTTTCATTCCGAAGTAAGTCGAAAAAAACACTTTACTGAAACATGTTACTTATAAAATAAAAGTTAAAGGGTTATTTCACACAAAAAAGGACAATTCTGAATTTTCAGTTAATTTAGGCTAGGTTTTTATTCTCATTTAAACATTAATCAGCAGCGAGCTAAACAGCAACTGCTTGCCTCACGCGATCATATCTCATTGGTTCTTGCAGAAGCTCAAACGTGCGAGAATTGAACCTCGTTAGTTTTGGGGGTGAACTAACTCTTTAACTGACGTAAAATATTTTACCAAAACATTAAATTAATTTTTAATTTTAACTAGTTACTGAGGCAGTATTTCACAGTTTGATTTAGTTTACCTTGCCTGCTTAAAAATAGAACTGGAACTAAGATAAATAAATATGCAAAAATTTAATTGAAAATGTATAAAACATTTCCTCTTTAATGCTAAAATAACACTGTTACAAAACAAACAAAAACACCAATAAGGTACTAATACAGTAACTAGTAAATGGGCATATCTAATCAATTAACTGACAACTCGTTTGCATGATCCAACTAGTTTAATGCCACTGACCGTGACTCAGAATTTATTGATCTATTATTTCTGTGAATCACAAACACGTTCAACATTGCATGCCATCTAGGTAGGGAGCTCAATATGTTTGGAGACACTGACTATTGTGTCGAGGACAAAATAACCGCGTCTAAAGAGTGTAAATCGCTTCTAATGAGCTACAGCATAAATTAGTGGCTGCATCATAAACTATAGATCACTGGCTAGCACATGTTAGCATTACATATACAACATAAAGATGAATGGAAAGCTGCAGCACAGCGCTATGCTAAAGCAGCTAACACAGCCACATTACTAACCTACTTCAAAACCCCAGACGACTCACAAGCCTACCTGAACATTACACTCTTTTCCTTGAAGAGGTTTTACAGTAAGAATCATCTTTACATTTATAAAAATTAAATACAAAACAAAGAAGAGATAATTATCTCGCTGGACATTCGTGGACTAGCAGCCGACGTTTCCCACGGACATGACGTCAATGACACTGCAACTGCGCATGCGCGGTGAGTGCGCCTCACCCAACTCAAGAACGTGCTTTTTTTAGTGACTTGACAAACAGGAAAACTATTATTGTATACATATATTAACAAATAAAACTAACATTTAATATTTTCAGTGAAAATGAATATGTGACGTTTGCCTTTCCTAAAATACAGAAAATGAATCTATGAGGCTGTCATAAATGTTGGCTGCATCACCAAACATCACCAAACAGGACTGGAGACCTTCTGAGTGGGAGTTCACTTTAAAAAAAACTTTTGCTCATAATTTACTCACCCTCATGTCATCCAAGAAGTCCATGTCTTTCTTTCTTCAGTCGAAAAGAAATTAAGGTTTTTGATGAAAACATTCCCCATATAATGGACTTCAATGGGAACCAATCGGTTCAAGGTCCAAAAGACCTTGGAGGGCTTTAAACTATTCCAGACGATGAATAAGGGTCTTATCAAGCAAAACGATCACTATTTTTTTTATTATTTTTTTTAAATAACTAAGTCTAATTTTTATAAGCTCAAATGGTCGCCTTGCTCTGTTCTGTGATGCACGTTCGTGACTGTTTGAACTCATTCATCAAAATGAACTAATCTTTTTCCGAGTCAATTCATTCATTTCGTTTGTTGAATCAACCAAATGACGTGAAAAAAAGATTTGTTTCACTTGAATAAGACCCTAATTCATTGTCTGGAATCGTTTAAAGCCCTTTGAAGCTGCACTGAAACTGTCTTTTGGACCATGAACCGTTTGGTTCCCAATGAAGTCAATTATATGAAGAAAAATCCTGGAATGTTTTCATCAAAAACCTTAATTTCTTTTCGACTGAAGAAAGAATGACATGGGCATCTTGCATGACATGGGGGTGAGTAAATTATCAGCAAAAGTTTTTTTTAAAGTGAACTACTCCGTAAAGTAGGCACAGTAGACATCATCTATGTTTAATGAGAACGAACTGGGAGTATAAATTAAATTACGAAGTCATATCTACATGTAGGCTACTTACTATATTAGTTTACGGTTAGCTGCATGCAATTATGCATAATTTATAGTTATTACTACGGAGTAATTACATGTAATGTGTGTAACAAGAACACTAAAATAAACTGTTACCAAAAAGTGTTACCCAGACCACAAGATCACAACTAAACCTTTCATTTTTTTTAATTTGTTACATAAAAACACACATACTTAAGGAGGAAAAAAAATATTTTATTTATCTGAATAACACATTATGAATTATACAGTCAAATGTTCATACATTATGGATAGAAAGTAAGCTTCCATTTCTAAGGCTTTTTCATTTTTAGTCTAATTTTTAACCCAACTTTTAATTTTTAATCGTTCATGATTTTGCCATGAACGTCTTTGATTTATGGTAAATTACAAAAAATAAAAATGCATTCTGGAAGCTAAAGGCTGTTGAAACATTATAAACATGTTTGAACCAGATTGCAAGAATTATGCCAGTAAAATTGAGAAAGTAAAAGTCACTAATCCTGACTCTTCAAATTAATTATATTTCAAACAAAAGTAATTTAGTTGTACAAGTGCACACGAATACTAAATCAAGGCAAGCTATTTCACACCCAGTGATTACAGGAAATAAGAGTGCAATACAGGTATATGAATGTTATTCACATATATCAGTCACCCTACTAAATAATAATAATTATAATGATAATTCATAGCATTTATATATGTGACGGCAGCCATAATGCGCCAGAACACCCACACACTAGCTTACTGGCGGAGAGGAGACAGTGATGAAGCCAATCGGTATATATAGGGATGATTAGGAGGCCATGATGGACAGAGGCAAATTTGGCCAGGATCCCGGGGTTACACCCCAACTCTTTTTCGACAGGACATCCTGGGATTTTTAATGACCACAGAGAGTCAGGACCTCGGTTTAACGTCTCATTTCGAAGGACATGTCAATTGAGCTCAAAGAAAAAAAATGTAAGAAAAAAATCAATCCAAAAAAAAAAATCAATGTCATACATCAAAAGAAATTAGGAAGTTAGACATTTCAGTTAGACTTTATTTTAAGGTGTCATTGTTACAGTGTAATTATATATTTAAGTACTAAGTAATATTAATGAACTACATGTACTTAATATAGGGTTAGGGAGGATTAGGGTTTGGCTGAGTGTAATTATGTATTATTTACTGTTATTGCTATGGTAAGTACATGTAACATATGTAACAATGACACTGTAAAATAAAGTGTTACCGATAAATTTCTCTGCATCCTCTTAAAAACATATTGCCATTGAATCTAATCAGCACAGGCAGCATATCGTACAGCAGGGGTGTCCAATCTGGTTCAGGGGAGTTTAATTAGAGGAGATCAACTCTGCTGGACGCTGACCTTCCAAAAACAGGATCAGACACCTCTGTCCTAAACAAAGAAGTTGAGCAAGTACATGAGGGGTGTCCAATTCCTGCTTCTGGAGGGAAACTATCCAGCAGAGTTTAGCTCCAACTCTATTCCATCTGATCGAGGCCAATCTGATTCAGGAGGATAGAAACTCCCAGGCAGGGGTGAGATTGAAGCTGGAGCAGGATTGGATACCCCGAAATTACATGATGAATTCAAAGCAGATGCAAATGCACAAGTGTACGTTTTGGAGAAAATGGGAGTGAGGAAGAACTGTTGTTTTCTGGAATCTGTGAAAAAAAAAGAATACAGTTCATGATAAATGATCCTGCTTACAATACTGTATATTTTTTAAGACAGTAACTGAAAGTAACTGAAATACATAAACCAAACAATTTTTTTTACAGGATATGCTGTACATTACATATAGTATGCATTAAATTACAAAACAACAATTACTATTATCCAACATTCAAGCCATTTTTTTTTTCAAAACTAATAATAATATGACCAGAACTTACTGTTGCATGTTCACATGTCAGGCTCTACAAGAGAGAAAAACAAACATTAATTAAATTTTTTAATTAATGATCACAATGTTTTTCTCTGCAGTGAATTATTGGCTGTTCACTTGAGCATGAAAAAGTGAAAAATGATAGATAGATAGATAGATAGATAGATAGATAGATAGATAGATAGATAGATAGATAGATAGATAGATAGATAGATAGATAGATAGATAGATAGATAGATAGATAGATCGATAGATAGATAGTTGATAGATAGATAGACAGTCACTGTATAGATAGATAGATAGATAGATAGATAGATAGATAGATAGATAAACAGTAACTGTATAGATAGATAGATAGATAGATAGATAGATAGATAGATAGATAGATAGATAGATAGATAGATAGATAGATAGATAGATAGATAGATAGATAGATCGATAGATAGATAGTTGATAGATAGATAGACAGTCACTGTATAGATAGATAGATAGATAGATAGATAGATAGATAGATAGATAGATAGATAAACAGTAACTGTATAGATAGATAGATAGATAGATAGATAGATAGATAGATAGATAGATAGATAGATAGATAGATATATAGATAGATAGATAGATAGATTTTTTTTTTTTTGTCCTGAAACTAAATCAGTTTAGAACCACTGAACCTATGCCATAATAAACATGAAGGAGAGGAATTAAACTCTAAGATCCAGTGAACAGACGTCTAAGAAAGTGAGAAAAACCCAAACAGATCCTAAATATCAACATCAGGCAGTTTCTGGAAGTCAGAGAAACATAAATAGAAAATCAAGAACAAAGCAGTGAGCAGTTAAAACTTCAGATCTGTTCTCACCCCACGAGAATAACTTTGGCTCTGCCCCCATGTGACTGACACTGCAGGTGTAATGCTCTCCGGACTTGGGATTGAATTCAACGTATCTGGTCAGGTGGAACTTCCAGCCCGCTTCAAAGGCAAGGTCGGTCTGTTTGCTGTTTGGGATCTCCACCCCGTTCTTGAGGAGCTTAATGGAGATGTCAGGGGGGTGAAAGCCACTCACATAGCAGATCAGCACGTTTTCTTTGCCGTACTCCCCAGGGTGACGGCTATACACTTGCACAGTTGGGTCAGCTAGAGACAACACAAAAGGAAACATTGTTATTTTAAAATCTGAATAGGCCTGTTTACACTAATATAGTGCAGTATTGCGTTTGGAAATGTGTTATGCATGATTCTACTTAAGAATTCTACTTTCTATAATATTTCGTTATTGGCAGTAATTTTACAAACAATAAAATGTATAAATGAATTATTATAATTTAACAATAAAATAATTGATTAAATAACATGTTATCATGAGTCCCTTGAAAGAAACTTGATAACTACCAGCAAATAATATCCAGTCAAACGGGTTTATCTAAATCGCATGGTTTTCCCCTCCGTAAGTGAAAGTGAAAGTAAAATGTTCTGGGGGTTTTAGACAAACACGCATGTCGCATGTTAGGCATGTTTGAATAACATTTTCGACGGATTTCCACATCCTATGTATAGTTACAAAATAAATATGTTTGATAATATAAATTTTAAAGGATTTTAACCTCCGCATTCCTCGCGTTACCTGAAAGTGCGTCATGGCCTAAAGTCGGAAAACATAATCATCCTTAAAACTACTGAAGGATTCAATACATATATATATATATATATATATATATATATATATATATATATTCCGTACAAAGCATTAAAACAGAAAACATTAATAATAGCATAAGAAGATCGGCAGAAAACCTTTGTCAAAAAACAGAAGCGTTTTATACTTACTTTTTTTGGCAGAGCAACTGGCGCTCAGAAACACTAGAGCGACCACAGCGAGTTTAAACCACATGATTTTCACAGCAGTAATGTCTCAGTTTTCTATAATTCTTTTCAAAGTTATGGCCTTGGTCGAGTTCACGTCTTGTCTTTTGCTCTCTCTGACTAAACAACACAATAAAGGGAAACACGGAAGGGGGAAACATACGGGTCACCATATTAAACCCCGCCCTCAATTTTTTTTTTTAACAAATCATATATTGGCTTTTTCTGTTGCTGGGTGAAAATGGCGCTCTGATGGTTTGAATCAGATGACTTGCAGTAGTCAACATGAAATAAAAATCGACCCTTTTCTTTTTTTAATACTGCATTATTCATTATAAATTATTTATTCGTGCACATCTTTTTATTGTTTTCAATTCATGTGCCTCATAATAAAAATAAATTCAAAATAAATTTGTAACTGTAAGGGGGGCGGCCTACGAACTCCTGAGGGAGTCTTGAAGCTGACTTCTGCTGATGAAATGGCAAACTATGTTCAGTAAAACTTTCTTTAATTTTTATAATTCCGACTCCGGGTCTTCATTCTTCATATCTGGTTCTGGGTCCTTTAACTGTTAACCCCTAACAGTTTGATGTACCCCTCAAAATAAATTCTTGCAAAATTCTTGCAACAATATTTCTTCTCTGGTGACCTGAAAACTGGCGTGAGGGCGGAGCAACCTGTCACACATGAGATCGACCAATAGCAAACCACAACCATCCAATTAGATTAAATTCGCCATAGACCACCAGAGGCGTTGACAAAATCAAGTCCCGCCTTACAATTTCTTCGTTCAAAATTTATGTTCGCACCTCCCATAAGGTTCATAATTAATGTGAATAATGTAGGCTAATTGGCTTTATGCACAGCTGCACTACTTGCACTTCAGCCAGTTCCTTGTTTCCTGTCCCATTATTGGACAAACTGATTAATCCAGGTGTGTCTGACTTCAGTAGTCACAACAACAATAATCAGGCACACCTGAATTAATCAAGTTTGTCCAATAATGGAAGACAGGAAACAAGGAGCTGGCTGAAGTTCAGGAAGTAGTGCAGCTGTGCATAAAGCCAATTAATTATAAAGTGAAGATCATGGTCAAGTTTAAATAGAAAAGTTTCAGCAGTTTTTATTAGGAGAAAACATTTGTTTACACTCACCTAAAGGATTATTAGGAACACCTGTTCAATTTCTCATTAATGCTTATCTAATCATCAACCAATCACATGGCAGTTGCTTCAATGCATTTAGGGTGTGGTCCTGGTCAAGACAATCTCCTGAACTCCAAACCGAAGCATTGAGAACTTTGTCAGTGTCCATACAGTTTAATAAGAAGATGTTTTATACAGTCAACTTCACGAATACAGGAAGAAGCCATCTTTGAAAAATATTAAGACTATTCTGAAGGCGAAAGGGGTCAAACACCAGTATTAGTATTGTGTTCCTAATAATCCAGGTGAGTGTAAAACTATCAAGCCAAATGCCTATTCTGCAAATTATTTCATTGACCTAATCTGTTTATAGCTACATCATGCCACATGTTTTCAGCATTGATAAATCATCTTTAAAGACTACTGGAGTGCCTTGAAAAGCACAGCATGTGTTCTTGTAATTTCCTAAAAAAGGAAGACAGGATGGGACATATCAAACAGCTCCTCCCCTTTTGTAAA